TTAAAACATTAAAAGATTCTAGTTAAAACAAATACAAAAGTATACAAAAAGATCAATTGAAGCTTATTTAATTAATTATAAATTATAAACAATTTATTAATTTTTTTAAGTTAAATTTGCATTAAATAAAAGAAAGAAATAGAATGTGACAACAATATAACAAAATAACTTCATTCTTTCTTCATGTCACATAACATAAATTCAATTATTTAATGAATTTAATTTAATAATTATATAATATATTAATATAATATATATTAATAAAAATAATTTAACTTAATAAACTTAATTAAAAATTTTTATATATCAAATTTTATGTTTTTATCTCTAAAATTGATTCTACAAATATATCCCATGAATATTAACATCCTATATGTATATATATATATTAATGTTATTAAAAATTATCTTCAAGCATAAATTTTTACCATGCCATCATCTCTAGTAGTAACCCATATACTCTTTATTTGTTCTACTTGAGCTTCTAAAGTAGCAGCCATAGTCCCCAAGTGTACTGGAGCATTTAGTACTTTGTTCACTCCATTTTTTCTCCTTTCAACATTTTCATCATTTGAATTACCTTTTAACATTTCCAATAACTTTACACATATTTGTCTAAAAATAAAGAAATGTAAATTAAAACATATAAAACATATAAAAAATTATAATTAATATATTATTAATCATATTTAAAATTATTTAAAAAATGAATATATTATAAGAAATTATATTATTTCGAGTTAAAAAATTTATCAATAAATCAAAAATTTAATGTTATTATAAGAACATATGATAATGTTATATGATGATATAAAAAACAGAGAAATTTGAACACGTTTACAGACCTAACCTCATTTTCTGTTTTTTCTGCAACCTCGTGTAATACTTCTCCTATTGCTTCATAAACTTCATCTCCATCCTCGAAATCATCCTTAGAGCTATCTAAGATACCTTCATAAATGCAAATATTATTTAAAAAAAAATATATCATTTATAAATTATTATTAAATAACAAATGTTTTCTAATGTTAGGTTATTTAAAATATACCTTCCACATATTGATACAAATCATCATCTATTGTGGGAAATTGACTGCGAATATATTCTCCACAGATTGCCATGCCAATTAATGTATTGTAACAAAAATGTTAAAAAGAATTTATTTTGAATGATTTATAAAACGATATTCTTGACAGAACCAGACGTCAAAATTCCTTTGAACACTGCAAACACATGTTTATGCCATTTTAGAATATAATACTGCAGTCAAAAGATCATCCAGATAGTTTAATTGACATTAAATAAATTTTCAATATGCTTAGTTCATATACGATTTTTTTAATAATATTTTAAAAAATCTCAGTTCTGTTTTAATAATGTATAAAAATTCTTCGAAATTCAATTTGATATATTATATAGAATTTAATGGTAAAGTAGCCATTTTGAAGCTGTCAAAACGATTTTTGTCATTTGATTGTGTGTAATATTTGTTTCATTGAATTCTGATATTTATTTATAATTATTATTCAATTTTTATGTTGCGGTCTATTTGCATCATTAAAAGTATTCATAATCGAAATGATTTAAAGTTAATAGAATGCAGGATAAAAATTTATCACTGTTTCGAAAGAAAGATGGCAAAGAAAGTTGATGGAAGTGATGTGAATTTTTGTAATGTAGACCAAGGTCTTTTCCTCAAAATTGTTTAATAATTATTATCAGATTTATTTAGTTTTATTTAAATTGTTTAAAGGAAGAGCAAAATACAGACCTGTATAAAATAGAGAAAATGGCGACCGACATCGAAGAATCAGATACTGATGATCATGAAAGACCAGCTCCACCAAAACGGCAATGTACACGACTCAAAGCTACCGAAACGATTTGGGATATGGTAATTACGAAATATAGTTATAAATTATTTAAATTCCAATTTTATATTTTATTCTTCAAAAAAAAAAAATATTAAACAATAATAATATTTCAAAATATATATTCTATTTGAGCAATTACTTTGTAGGAAAAAAGTTCAAATGGAAAAAAAGTGGAACAAATACAAGAAGCAGAAAATGTTGAATATGATGATGTAGAGAAACAAGCAAGGGAAAAATTAAAAAGATGGCAAGCTTGTCAGGTTGCTAAGGGATATGTAGATAATACCATTAACAAAGTATTAGAAAATTACATTATGGGAACATCATCTTATTCTCTAGAGGAATCCAGATTTCAATTATTCAGAGGAAATGATATGGAGGATACTGCAGTCATGATGGCAATTCGTAATCATGGTTTAGTTCAATCTGCAGAACTTGTTTCTCAATCCAATGCTTTTTACAGTGACAAAGCTCCAGGATATTGGACCAATAATGAATATACAGATCTGCATTGTTTTTACCCAGCTAATCATAAATCAGATGGTGGAAATTTTGAGAATTCAGTAGCTACTACATCTACAAATTCATTGAGATTGAATGATTCAAAAAATCCAGAAGAATATAATAAATTTGATTGGGATTTGGATAAAATAGATGAAAATGATCAACAGGAGAACTTTTTAGAAAGAGCTGTAGCAGAAGCTATAAAGAAAAAAGGGCTTAGTGCTCTAAGCGTTGATTATGGTTGAGCACTCTAAATATTTCATCTTAATATATGATTACACAATAGCATTGCATATAACTTTTTATCTTTGCAAATCCATTTCGATTTGTGTAACAATTACATAGATGATATTCATCAACAATTTTGTGACTAATTGCATTCTATTAGACAAAAGATAAAAATTATTTCTTTATTCATCATGAGCAGATGTATGTCTAGTTATGCATAGAGATTTATCATATACATATATTCCAAATTAAAATATTTTTGACGAAAAATTAAATTTCATTAATATATAAAGATCAATGTAGTACAAAGTTTTGTTTACAATTAGTTGAATTGTATAAAATAAGTTCAATCATATTTGATTTATTTAAAGAAAGAATTTTAAAAATTTCAAATACTTAATTCTAAATATGTCAAATATGTATAATAGCTTTAAATCAGTTGGTAATTGTTAATTATTGTTAAAATTCATTCCATATAGTATTATATTGCTTCTATCCATTCCTGAAAACTATATTTTTTTGTAAATCATAATTTTTTACATGATATATGTTTATTAACATTAATATAATGTAGAATATATAATGAATTTTAGGAAGAAAAACGAATCTATTTTATGTAAGAGTATTAAAAATACTTTCTTCTAACTTTTTCATTTATATACAAAGGCTGTATTACATCTGTAAATAGATTGTTACGTATGAATAACATATAAATAAAATTTTCATTCACGTTAAACGATGATACATATTTGTACAAAACATATAATGTGTTCTCTGTGCACATGATTCATATTTCTGGCATTTATGAATAAAGAGGTGTAAACAAATATAGTGACATGTCATTCTATAAAGAATTCCTGCAATATGATCTAAAAACTGTAAATTATTATTTGAAAAATTGATTAATTTTAAAACTAAATTTTTTAATAATTTTTCAATTCAATAATTTTATTATGAAACAAAGTTTTATTTAAAACTAAAAATAATTTTTTTTATTGAAAAGAATTTAGAGATTTATAGTATTTTAATGATATTATTTAGAGATACTATTTTTAATTCGTGTAATATAATATTCTTTCTCTATATAATTTTCTATGTTAATTTCCAGTTTCATTTATTATATTTTATTAAATAATATTTTATTAAAATTATTTTATAAAATTATATTTTATTAAAATATTTTAATTCTTATCAAAATATAAATATAAATCAAATTATATTTTTATTATGATGAAATTAGACATATTCATTTGATATGAATTCATTCATATGAAAACAAATAAAAAAAATTAATTAAATTATTTTTTCTATATCAAAAATAAAAGAATTGTTTATGAAAAATTATAGATATATATGGATACAAACATATTTCCAAATCTATTAAGATGAAAAATAATAATCAATTTTTTAATTTAAATTTTAATTTATAATTAATTTATTATATAACGCATTAATACTAAGGAGTAATTTAATTGCATAAAATCAATAATAT